AGGACTGCAGGAAGGGAGGTGGGTAGAAGAGGAGGAGGAGGAGGAGGAGGAAAAGAGCAGGTGGAGGAGAGTAGGAGGAGCCCTTATCTGATAGGAAGCTTTATCGAGTTCTGGGCTTCCCGCCCAGGTCAAAGCTGCCGGTATGAACACACCTGGCCTGCTACAGTGTCTCAGACACAGACACACAGACCTACAGAAGTAAGAGCAGCCCTTGACGGGATGCTAGAGTCAGAATTTAAAAAGGAAAGCTAGAGGTGCTGGGATTGGCTGGGCAAATGGGTGGGACGGCCAATGGGCAAGCTCCACCAGGCAGCTGCAGACGGCCAATGGCCAGCTGGAATAATCCCGAGTCGTTAACCTTTCTAAGAAGCCCCACCTGCCACTCTACCCCTGCGCCCATAACTAGAAGCTGCGAAAGTGGCAAACAGCTCGAGTACAGCCCTAAATACGAGTATTTAAATAATGACAACAATATAAAAGTAACTCATTCAGAGACGTAAGATTGCTTTGAATTGCTTCGCTTTCTTCTGGAGGGACTATACCGCAAGAGAGATAAGGCAGAGTAACAGAAGTATGAGGGCTTCCCTGTAGAAAAAAGGTACGCTCGACTCGCTCTTACAGTGAATCTCATTAAACAATATTCACGGCTTCTCACTGACTCTACTAATTAATCCAAAAAGCACCGTCAGGACGAGCAAGCCTTTCAAGTAACAAAACACTAATTAAATCAATTATTAAATCCCAAAGGCTTTGATTTGATTGATTACTTGGTGAATGGCATTCTTCATCTGGCACAACAAAAGAAAAACCACTCAGAAAGGAATAAATAACTGGGGGAAAAAAACAGATAAAATGGAAGGGGGAACATACAGACAAAGCAGGGATTAAACAAATCAGATAACGCAGCCTAAACAGAATCTACAATTGAAAGCCGGGGAGAGACTTGACGCATTTCATCTTCACTGCCTGGACGAGCTTTGCCACTGAGGTTTGTAAAACTTCAAAAGATCCGGACTTGGTACAGCGAAGCTTGGACGAATTCATTCGATTTTTTGCAGCGTTTCCTAGGTAATTACGTGCCATTGATTGCTTAAATGAGTGATCGATAGTACCCAGGGCTATGAGACTGACCCGACCTGGACGTCACTCTCCAGTTAAACTGGAAGTTGACAGGCTGGGGACACTGGGAACGGGCGGGGAACGATGTGTGGGAGACTGAGGGGGCAGCTTGGTTTTACTGGGAACCAGGAATCAGATCGTGGACGTCATTGCTGCTCAATCTGGGTTAAGGTCTTGCCGGTCAAGACATTAAAAAAAAAGACAAAAAAAAAACACACACTTCTTCCTATTTTTTGTTTCACCCCACAGCATGGATTACGCCACACTAAGGAATTACCATCAACAGCAGGCGTATCAACCTCAATGTGATAAAATCAGCAGGTCTTTAAAAGGTAATAAATCGTCTCCTGACGATTTCACCCTGAAGTGCGATTCTAATTCACCATCCTATCCGTCACACCAGCTACACTAGAACAACTGAGGTTAAGGGCCTTGCACAGTTACATCACTGATAGTGCTGGGATTTGAACCACTGACCTTCTGAACACAGGCATGGTGCGTCATTATCCACTGACCCACGCAGCTCCCCCCCCCTTAAAGTGTCTGACGAGGGGGTAAAATGAGGGTTCGAAAAGGAATCCCCCGCCATATTCCACCATGCCATTTCTAATGGTCTAACATGCTTATTTAAGAATTAAAAAAACAACCGTGACACCCGCGTCCTTCCGGAGATGTGAATCAGTGACCTTGAGTACCTGGTTTCACAGCTGCCCACTTCCAGTAGAGACCAAACGATCAGCAACACCCCCACACTTTAAGTCAGGACATCTACCTGCAGCACCGATAGACGAAGTTACAGACACTCTTAATTACGTCAAACTCCGGGATGGATTTTCCACTCGCGATCCCCCCCCCCCAGGCCACTGCATGATGTACTGCGATGAGCCAGCGTTAAAATAGCTGCAAAGCTGCATGTTCTCACCCTGCGATTTGAAGTTCAATTTCAAAGCTTGGCACTGCAAAAAGCCCCAGAGCTGTGTTTGCTGGGAGCCGACATCTTATTTCACCCAGTGAACTCTGAAGGGGTCAGCGAAACGAGGCCAGAATGAATAGCTGGGAATTAACAGAATTTGATTAATGTGTGAGTCACTGTAGCTGCAGCCTGAGGTTCTCATCACACACTGCAGTGCGTTCCTTTAACCACCAACATCCCAGTTTCTTAAATGAAATATGCATGACACTGAAACTGAGCTCAGCTAACTTTTGTGGTTTTTTTGGACTTCTTTTTAGGGACGTTCCATTTTCCCGGTTCTTGTTTCCTCGGATTCGGGTGTCAGCCGCTGGCAGCTGGAGACGGTCCTCCCCGCATTCTCGTGACGCACAACGTATCGCTCCCATGTACTAAGGCGTCGCTGCCTCAACCACACAACAAAGCTTGTCACCCAGAAGGAGAATGGTCCACTTTCTGAACCGCATTTGGAAGTGTACACACACACACACACACAATCAAGTTCACTCCTGCTAAAAAGATTATTTCTGTGCAAGGTTGCTATGATCCACTTTTCACAGAGGGTGGTGCTATACTCCCCCTTGCCGAGTGATGTTCTACTAATGCCAACAAAGCAATTGGTTTGAGGGGAGCTCAGGCAGCTATTAAGCAAGGATGACCTTTTGAGGCCCTGGTCTAAGATCCCATCTGCAACATGTACCTTGATTTCTCCAGGCGCTTGTAAATATAGAAATGGCCAGACTGAGCAGACAACTAGGCCATGGCTTCTCACTGCATGCTAAACTGGAGCTGGACATGTGAAACCAGTGCTACTGGATCACTGTGAATCACTGGAGAAAAATCAGGCATGTATCGCTGATCAGCTGCTAATCAGAGCTGCCATTTTTCAGTGACTCCTGTGTCTGGGATTTTTGGAGATGGGACACGTGGCTGACAGCACCTGCCGCTCAGGCCAGCGTGTGATGCGACATCACCCCCCCACCGCCCACGGAAAGCCAGAGGAGCCTCACGAGGAGGGATTCCCCGGGATTCCGGCTTTAAGATGTCATCAACCACAAGGGTAACTTTACCTCCTGTTTTACAACGGTGGGTGAAATATGAGGAAACCTGTCAAGAGGCAAAGAACATGTGCTTCATAATGCAGGAGGAGGCAAGAACATCTACAGCAGCCTGAAGCAGCATCCCATACTGTGTACCCGTTTCCAGTTACATAATTCTAGCGATAAACTTGTCAATTATTTCTTCCTGTTACAAGACACAAAAGAAATGCCTGCCATTATACTTGCACTTATTCAACTCTATTTACAAACGTTTTAAAAAAAACTGTTTTAAAAATTTAGTTTCTTGTTATTTTGTCTGCTTGTTCCTCCTGAAAAGGCAGGACATGCAGGCTGATCCTGGGTCTGTGAAGCGCGTCGCACGCCAGCTCTGCAGTTACATCACTGTCAGCCGGGTCCCACAGAGGCATGGAGAGCCTGGGGCTGTTAGCAGGAGGAAAATGGGGGAACGGCAACAGTGCCACGTCCCCTCCCGAAGGTCGATCCACAGGCAACACGCGAGGAAGGGAAGGGATGGGTTACATCACGCGCGGGTGCATGCGTGTCATCACTCCCAGGGAATATCTGACAAACCAGTAATCCAGAACCAGGGGTGTATCTGGAAATTCTGGGCTCCCTGACAAAATATCGCTAATGGGAGTTTTACTGATACAATAATGTTCTGAGGATACAATGAAAAATGATTCTTCAGAAAGATAACCCAACCAGATTGTAGAGGAGGTGGGTGCAAGCAACCAGAGGAGATGGGACCAACCAATCAGATGTCTTGGTCCCGCCTCCTCTGGTTGCTTGGAACCACCTCCTCTACAAACTGATTGGTTCTCTCTCTGAACCAATCACTTCTTTTTGTTCTGCCCTCAGAACATTTTTATGCAAGTCCCATAAGCCAAAATATCACATTGGGCCCCCTTGCCCATTATATCATTTTATGTATTCAGGCACCACTGTAAAGGGTTGAGCCCCTGAATGTGCCAGAGTACCCACACCCCTACTGTGCCCCTGCCTAGAACCAAGAGCAAAGTGATACGGTCACATTCTACATTCAGGTGTGATTATTCCACTGCTGCTTAATTCCAGGGTTACGGAAGCATGTTTGGGAGTCAACTAAACGGTAAAGAATTGTCTCTGAATAAGACTTTACATCTATCTAATACAACCATGCACCCATAATCATGCAAACTCCAACATGCAAAGGCCGTGCTGATTATTCTATTTATTGGGTATAATCTGACTCGGAGAGACTTCATGGCCGTCTATTTAAATGCCTGACAAAGTCACGCTGGGTCCTTGGGAAGGAGTAGCGGTGTCATCGACTGCATCATAATCGGCGCTGAACCTTGTTCTGACGGCGGCCCAAAACTCAGAAACACAGCTGGCAAAAGCAGGTTGGCGGGAGACGGGGGAGGACATGCACTCTGCACCGGGGTAGATGGGGGGGGGGGGGGGGGGGGGGGGGGGGGGGGGGGGGGGGGGGGGGGGGGGGGGGGGCAAACACTGTCTCTTCCTTTTCCCCCTAAAGCTGGCAGCTCTGATTTTAACAATGGTGCTTGGATTTCAAACACCAGAGCGAAGAGAGCCATGAATCCCTGTGGAGACCCCCCCCGCCCTCACCCACACACCCCTCCCAAGCGGCATGAGCACAGCAGCCCCCCCGGTGAGGCAGCAGACCGGGCTCGTTGATGAGAGCTGGCAAGCTGGGCCACAGTCTGCCTGTTACTGGGAATTTTTGCTTGTTTTTTTGTTATACGGTGACTCAGGGCTCTGCAGCCAGGCGGCAGGAAAGGCTGGAAGCGGAGAAAGGTGCCATTTCTCTGCAGGACTGATAGACAGTGGCGGAACAGTGCAGCTAGGGGGCAGCATCGGGTGCTACTGACCTCTTCATGTTCAGGAGCGCCCAGGGGATGCCAGTGGGGGTCTTGAAGGCTGGCAGAAGTTTCTCCCCCAGCTCTACTGCCTTCTTCCTGTATACCTGACGAGAGAGATGAGTGTCTTTAGCACGGTAGCCCCACCCACCCCCAGGCCCCGCCCACTGACTGCTGGTAGCCCCGCCCACCCCTGCTCTAAGCCCACTGACAGCCGGTGGGAAGGTCCTGATGGCCCCGCCCACTCTCAGCCCCGCCCACTCCCAGCCCCACCACTCACACAATCTCAAGTGAAACAATCCCGCCTGTCTGATAAGGAGACAAATAGGGACTCGATCAGCTGCTGTTACCTGATCTGCCCAAAAAGTCATACTCAGGCACATTGCAGAGTAATCTCAGTACTTAAGAGTACAGTATTACACTGTGCGTGGGCAGTTTCTCAGATACACACAGCCGGTACTGGATAGGATCCACTTCTGCCTCCAGAACTGCTTAAAGCCTAAAAAAGTTTTGCCTTCAGAGAAGCTGTTCCGCACGCCGCCGCTGTACAGAGCCGTTACTCCTGCACTGTGGCCTCCCCAGTTACTTTAACGAGTCTCCTCTGACCTCGCTCAATAACAAGGTGTTTTCAGCCACAGAAATACCATTAACTGGATGTTGTTGGATCATCACGCCGATCTCAGTAAACTCTGCACACAGCAGCGTGTGAGAATCCCAGGCGGGCGCCCGTTTCGAAGATGCCGGAAGCGCCGTGTAACATTTGTTACGTGTTTCCAACCAGACCCCAGGGTAAGCAATGAGTCTGGCTAAGGCCGACAAAGTGAACTGGAAACCAAACGTTATGAAAAGCCCTCAGAGAAACCAGTGGGACGGAGCCCCTCACTGGCCCACGAGGCGAGGGAAGGGGGCTGTTTAAAAAAAGATAACCTGTCAAACAACTAAGGAATGAGGTGCCAGTCACTCAGAAATAATTAAATCCCTCTTTTTTACAGGGCTGGGTAAAACCGATAAAGCCAGACCAACTGGAAGGTGAGTTCAGCAGAGCATTCAGGAGAGGAGTCTGCATTAAGCAGGCTCTGAACAGAAGCAGACCCCCCCCAACCAGCTCATTGTATCGACACTGTATTTCAGGTCAGCGCCCACTTTGTGATGACTGGGTGCCGCATTGATGCTTTGCGATGACGCAGCCTGCTTTTGCCGTCCTTGACAGCTTGGAAAGAGGTCGGCACCGGCCCCCCCGGGGAATCCCAGGCTTCCCCCATGCCTCATGGGCGTCTCCCCCCCCGCCGGGGCCTCTGTGGGTGAGCACCTGCTAAGACATAGAAGCCCCCTCCCCATCGGTCGCTAATCGCTATGTCCCACCGCAAGGTCAGCCTGAGACCGTTACATTCTCAGGCGGGACTGTCCCTTCCAATTTATATGATAAATGTTTTTAATAAAACTGGAAAGCAAATCGAATAAGCCCCCCCCTCCCCATTTTCAAAGCAGGCAGTGAACCTTTGCCGGGGTTTAATGTGCGATTAAACGGGCACTTTGAGCAGCTCGAGACGCCGGGCGACACGGCTGCCGGAAGGGGCCGGAAAGGGCTGGCGATGGCCGTCTTCCTTCGCCAGTCACGGCCGCCCGGCAGGTGCCAGTAAATGCAGCCTTTTACAGAAGAGGGGTCGCCGTCACCCCCGCGCCCCTGCGAGGGCGTGGCAGAGCACCCCCGCGCCTGCTCTCCGGGGCCTCTGAGGGTGCTGATCTGATCCGCCACTGCTGAGCAGGCGGACAGGTCTATCCCGGGTCTGTGTGACAGAGCTCCCCCACACCGTCCTGCTGTCAGGGAGCAGCGGCTAACAGCCCACGGCAGGTGTGGAGAACCGGCAGCTAAGGAAGACGAATGGCTGCATCACGTCTTAGAGGACGGGGGACAAACAGCCCAGCCGGAGGGAAGAGGGGCCGAAGCAGCAGGCGCCCGGGGTCACGCGCAGAAACGGACACCCTCCAGAGGACGGAACGTGGGTGCGGACGCGGACCACCAGCTGCACTGCCAGTGGGCCGACATCATGCCGCCCGGAAAGCCGTCCAATCACAAGCGGTCCGGCTTGCTGCAGTGATACCGAATTAATGGCATGCACTGGGGGAAGCGTCTCCGTCAGTGCAGCTAGGAGGCGCGCTGCTGCACCCTTAACGATGCGGCGCAGCATTGCTGTCTGGGGGGGGGGGGGCACACTGTGGCAGAAGGGCACTTGGAGGCAATTACAGCACTCATTTGCAGGGATTTATATCTAGTCAGCACAGAGGACTGGCAATACAACCACAACTATCCCCCCCCCCCCCACGCTCAAGCCCCCAGCGGGTAATTTACTGGGAACTCTCTGGAGAGATGGTGTGAGCAAAAATTGAGGGGGAGAGAGAGGAGGTGAGCGGGTGCAGGAATTCTCCCCAAAACACCCAGGCGGGAAGCACAGGGCGCCCTCACAGTAGGTGACCCCCCCCAAGTCCAGGTTGTTTGGCTAGTCTGATCGCTCCGTACCGGGCTCCGGCCCGCTTGAAGAGGTGGGCCCCGGCACGGTTCAGTTCGACATGCCATCGATGATGCCGCTGGCACACGCATGCAGACAGATGCACTACACATGAACTGGACCTGGAAGGAGTGGATCGGGTCGGCTGTACAGATCGGGAAATGACATTTATGAAATGGTGGCAAAGGGATGACTTTGGTCTACAGCAGAGGTGCAGTGTTTGCAGGAAACCTGAGCTTCTTACACGTGCAGCATGATTAAATGAAAATCGCTGCGTTTTGTACTCGATAAATCTTTGAGGGCTGTGTGTCATCACGGCCAAAATGACTCCACACAATAAGGACATTAAATAATGAACTCCATTGTGCTGTGCGATAGCGCTATTCTTCCTATGACTGCCTCTAAACAGAAAAAGTCGCACGATAATGAGGGAAGCGTGCTCAGGCCCCGAACGTTAAGCGCAATGTGAGCACAGCCCAGCGGGGGCAGCGGAGAGGGACAGTCATGCTTGAGCACGGTAGAAGGCGACTGGGCCAAGTGTGAGCATGCTGTGAAACACCCAGACCCGGGTTCTTCTCCGGGACTGTTGGAGCAGGATCCTTCATGCGGGCGACCATCGGCTCAGTGATTCCAAGATGACCTTACTCTGTTACCCGGGGGTGCTGTGCTGACTGAGCATCTGATTAATGATTAAGGCTCCGCCCACGTCCCGCCCCGAGACACATCCAGAGGCGTAAGGGGCATGATAACACAAGCAACGTAGGACATGAGAAGGCAGCTTCCTCAAGTCTTGCGCCACGCCCAGGGGAGGGGTCGTCCGGCACATCGCAGCGGGATTCTCCTCCCCACAAACAGATCTGCCACCGAGTCCCTCATCAATTACAGGAGTTGCGAAATAAGGTGGGGGGGGGCACTAAAAAACCACAACAAAGAGCTCATTACCGGCTTGCGCGCGCCGGCGTGTATCGATCGGACAACGTGCCAGCAAAGGCGCTGCTGCTCCGCTGCTCGCTGTGATGACTGTGTCTCGGCTGTCAGGCCAGACGCTGCGATGAGTCTCTTCTGCGCTGCCGACGGCGCTGCGGTCCGTCTTAGAGACCGCCGCCCCTGCGCGGCCATTGATTAGCAGCGAATCAGAGCGGATGTCCTTATCGCAGCCTGGACGCCTTGGAGGACGCGCGGGCCAGCTGGGGGGGGGGGGGGGGCTCCGCTGCATGCGGGACACGAGGCGGGTTGCTAATAGAAAAACAGTCAATGCTGGCACTTTGATCCGACGCCGCAGAAGCATCAGCTAAACACACGGAATGATAACCATGAGCTTGGGCTCTAATGACCCGTCTCCACGGTCGAAATCAACAGATCCAGTGCACACTGTGGCCGGGATTCAGAGGCTCCTCGGATTTCTCCCAAGCGAACGTCTGTCAGGGACCATAAAGTGGCCCTGGTTCTTCGGAACCAGGCCCAAGCTCCCTCACCAATCACCCGTTTGTGAAATATCACACGCAAGGCATCCTGCCACACGAGCGATATGAGAAGTGCGACATGAAACACAACCCCATAAAGGTGGGGGGGGGAGACACCAATAAGGCATAAGGGCGATATGAGCGTGAGAGCAGAACAGCCTACGCTCCTCCCAGAGATGAAAACCCCCCTCAGTGCAAACATTATACGGCCCAAAGGGAAAAACGCACGCAATACCAGCTGCAGTTTCAGCCACGATGAATGTTTTTGTTTTTGTACGAAATATTGTAAATTAAAGATGGCCCTTAAAGAGCCAGGCACCCAATTTTATACCTTTTTCAGTTAATAAACTGGGAGCTGATCTGACACATGTCAAGCCCCCCCGCGACACCCCCCCCCACCCCAGGTGATGGAGGTTTGCACTGTGGAGCCTGCGGGACTGATCTGGCCGGAAACTAGTAACTTGGGTCAGGTGGAGGGTCGGGGGCTGAGGGTACCCCCAGATCGCTGGCTGGTCGGCCTGCTCAGTCCCCTGAGGGTCATGACCCCGTGGGTGATCGCACGCCCTGAACCCAGGGGCACATGGGAACCACTGAGTAGCTGCTGGCTGCCACCAGCCCGTGAGACATGAATGGTGATAAATGATAATTACAGCCTGTAAAACAGGCTGGGAGGAGCACAGGCAGCAATGAGAGCCTTTCAGCTCCCAAAGGATCATAATTTCATGCAAATCCTTTAAATGCTCGAGAGCACTAGAACAGGACAAACCCGAAACCGCACCTCGAGTCTCAGCCGCCGGAGCACTTCACCTGCGCTTGGAGTTGGAGCCGAGACCGGAATAGCGAGATTCACACACGGAACTGCATCAGCTGCGAGAGGCCGTGTGACAGAGCGGGGAGCTGAGAGCAGCACGTCCAGCAGTGGACGGAGCCTCCCGCTCCATTGTGCTCTCTAACCCCCACCGGCGAGGGAGGCGGACCGCAAAGCCCAATCAGGGTGAAACCAACAAGCATTCATGCAAACATCCATCCATCCATGTACCCAAAGATATAAACATACCTCCATATATCCAAGCATCCATCCATGCATAATAATAATAATAAAATAAATAATAATAATAATAATAATAATAATAATAA